TATATGATAATTTTCTAATGATTTGAAATTTTACAATATTTTTCCCTGCAAAATAAGGTAATTTTCTGGTAACTTTTTGTGCAAAAAACCTCATTAGTTCATGGTGCTTTTATGAAAGTTATTCCTCTAAAACACTAGAGAATAAATAAAATGGTCAAGGACTCAAGGTTTCAGTTGGTCCATTTAACAATACGGGCCCAAAGAGAGTGTATTCATGCCCCCCTTGAATCTGGTGTAGTAAAGACGAAAACGACGGGAAAATACAGGAAAAACGAAGCTGGAGGCAATTTGGGTGCTAGCCGGTCGATCGCGGGCTTAGGTTCGGTGGACCGGATTCGTGCATGGAACAAGATCTTAGAACCATGTTCTGGCCGGTTAACTGCCCATGACTATGTGGTCGACCGAAGATGTGCTACCGGTCGACCGACCATGTCTGTGCGGTCGACCGAAGGTGTGATGAGTTATAGGGTGGAATTTCGACCTGCTGGCCGGTAGACCACGAGGAGCAGCTCGGTCGACCGCGATGCGGTTTTGGGCCTGGGCTCGGTTTCCTGATCTGTTTGGGTTTTGTGTTTGATATAAATACAAACACGTTTTAGGGTTTCTAAAAAGGACACAAAAGAGAGATTAAGAGCAGATATTTGAGCACTTAGAAAGGGAGAATTTGTGAGGGATTTGAGAGCTTTGTTTGAGGGTTATTTTGTGAGATTGTAAACTCTACTTGTATTCTCTTTATCTCTATTAGTAAAATCTCCACCCTCCTTGCCCTATGGACGTAGGCATATTACCAAACCACGTAAATTCGTTGTCTTGCTGTTTGGTACTTGAGTTTTGGTTATTTTGATCACTTTCTTCTCGTTTGTTAGTTTGTGATTCGTCCATTGCGCACAACAATTGGTATCAGAGCTCCGGGTTGGCTTGAGGTTCAATTTGGAGGAGAAAGCTAGGGGTTCTACATGAGTATTTGGTGCAGATTCACGTTTGAAGATTGGATTGTCAACATGACCGAAGCAAGTACATCTGGATCATCCCTAACTAAGGCGATACAAGGTTTGAACATTACTAATACAAAAAATTAATGTTCAAAATTTTGATGGAAAGATAAATTTTGGTTTGTGGAGGTGTCAAGTGATGGATGCATTGGATACTCAAAATCTGGAGGAGACTCTTGAATTATAAGAGAAACCTGATGATATGGAGGATAAGGTTTGGAAGAAGATAAATAGTAGAGCATGTGGGGTTATTAGATCGTGTTTGACGCCAGATTTGATTTATGATGTCATGAATGAAACATCAGCAAAACGGTTGTGGGAAACACTCAATGACAAGTATTTGACGAAGAGTATTGAGAATTGGCTTCATTTAAAGAAGAGGTTTTACAAATTCAAAATGAAGAGGGGAGTATTCATTAGGGAACATGAATAATTTCACAAAATTTCTATCGGATATGGCCAATGTGGATATCGTGCTAGAGGATAAAGACAAGGCGTTGTTGTTATTGTGTTCATTACCAGAAGATGATTACGGTACCTTTGTCCTTACAATGATTAATGGTAGAATCACTGTTAGTTACAAGGAGGTGACCTCAGTATTGGTGAATTATAAGTTGAGGAAGAGTGATGGTGAACCCTCCGAGAAGACATCGGGAGATACATTGGCAGTAAGAGGTCATAGTCCAAACCTCCATCCATTTAATCGCTTAAAGTCGAAACAAAAATGTGATCATAGAAGTGTGGGTAGGAATCAATGTGCTTTTTGCAAAGAGGATGGATATTGAAAAATGAATGTCCAAAGTTGAGAAATAGAGCCGGGAAGAATCAGGGAAAAGTCGGCCAGACTTCAGAGGTGAATGTTGCTAAAGTTAGTGGTGACAATTCAGATTCAGATTCTTCATGCTATTCATGCCCAGTATTACCGTCAGTTTGTTATGCAGACTCTGCGGAGCGGATGTTGGATTCGGGTGCTACATACCATATTTGTCCTAGGAGGGATTGGTTCTCTAGCTTTGAGGAGTTGGAGAGAGGGGATGTCGTGTTAATGGGAAATGATCACCTACATGAGTATTTGGTGCAGATTCTCGTTTGAAGATTGGATTGTCAACATGACCGAAGCAAGTACATCTGGATCATCCCTAACTAAGGCGATACAAGGTTTGAACATTACTAATACAAAAAATTAATGTTCAAAATTTTGATGGAAAGATAAATTTTGGTTTGTGGAGGTGTCAAGTGATGGATGCATTGGATACTCAAAATCTGGAGGAGACTCTTGAATTATAAGAGAAACCTGATGATATGGAGGATAAGGTTTGGAAGAAGATAAATAGTAGAGCATGTGGGGTTATTAGATCGTGTTTGACGCCAGATTTGATTTATGATGTCATGAATGAAACATCAGCAAAACGGTTGTGGGAAACACTCAATGACAAGTATTTGACGAAGAGTATTGAGAATTGGCTTCATTTAAAGAAGAGGTTTTACAAATTCAAAATGAAGAGGGGAGTATTCATTAGGGAACATGAATAATTTCACAAAATTTCTATCGGATATGGCCAATGTGGATATCGTGCTAGAGGATAAAGACAAGGCGTTGTTGTTATTGTGTTCATTACCAGAAGATGATTACGGTACCTTTGTCCTTACAATGATTAATGGTAGAATCACTGTTAGTTACAAGGAGGTGACCTCAGTATTGGTGAATTATAAGTTGAGGAAGAGTGATGGTGAACCCTCCGAGAAGACATCGGGAGATACATTGGCAGTAAGAGGTCATAGTCCAAACCTCCATCCATTTAATCGCTTAAAGTCGAAACAAAAATGTGATCATAGAAGTGTGGGTAGGAATCAATGTGCTTTTTGCAAAGAGGATGGATATTGAAAAATGAATGTCCAAAGTTGAGAAATAGAGCCGGGAAGAATCAGGGAAAAGTCGGCCAGACTTCAGAGGTGAATGTTGCTAAAGTTAGTGGTGACAATTCAGATTCAGATTCTTCATGCTATTCATGCCCAGTATTACCGTCAGTTTGTTATGCAGACTCTGCGGAGCGGATGTTGGATTCGGGTGCTACATACCATATTTGTCCTAGGAGGGATTGGTTCTCTAGCTTTGAGGAGTTGGAGAGAGGGGATGTCGTGTTAATGGGAAATGATCACGTATGTCTCATTGATGGTATTGAAACAGTTCGAATCAAGATGTGTGATGGTGTGACTAGGAAGTTGAAGGAAGTGAGATTCGTTCCTCAATTGACGAAGAATTTTATTTCACTTGGTACTTTGGAGGCATCAGGTTATAGGGTGATCTTGGAAAATACAGCTTTGAAGGTCACAAAGGGGTCCATGATGGTGATGAGAGGTGTCAGAAAAAAAAATCTTTACTACTTGAAGGGCAAGACAGTAACATAGGGTCTGACAGCTTCTATTACTACAGAGAAGGATAGTACCAGCTTATGGCACATGAGATTGGGACACACTGGTGATAAATCCTTACAGACATTAGTAAAGCAGGGGCTATTGAAGGGTGCAAACACTAGTAGAAAACGAGTTTTTACCTACGGAAATATAGCGACGGCATTTTCCGTCGCTATATGTTAATTTATAGCGACGGATAAATCCGTCGCTATTTATCCGTCGCTATAATTGTTTTAGCGACGGATTATCAGATTTTAGCGACGGAAATTTTTCGTCGCTAAAATATTTTTCGACGAAATTTTATTTCGTCGCTAAATTAATTTTAGCGACGGATATGCCGTCGCTAAAATTAATTGGTGGTAAAATTTTTTGGGCGCGGGCGCCCAAATTTTTTGGGCACCCGCGCCCGAATTTAATACCCTACCCTAGGTTTCCCCCCCTCTCATTTTCCCCGCCCCCCTTCTCATTTTCACCCCCCGCTGT